ACTATTATATATATATATATATATATATATATATATATGATAACCAAGCACTCCATTCAGACTGTCCATTACTAAGGTCCGGTAATGGGTACACTGTTCATTGGCTCTCTCTGCTTTCCAAGTTGCGAGCTGGTCTATCATTCTTATTCATCTCAGCTGGGCGCGAGAAGAATTGAACCAGGCATGATCAGAAAAATTGGCTGTTTCAAAGACAGAGTGCTGACAACCAAGTTTCTAGGTCAACGAATCTCACTCTACTGTTGATTTCTTTCCCCTTAAATTAATCTCAGCCCTTTTTTGCCCTAAAAAACGAGGTTTGTCATGTGTAAGGTGATTATTGTAGGTGTACAGTGTAAGGTACTTCCGAGTAGGAGACTCTCTCTCTCTCTCTTGGAAATCTCATGTTTCACGAGGCTTTTATATCCATAGCCACAATAAGGTTTGGACTAACATCTTGGAAAATAGTGCTTGTGTTGGATGACCTGCTGGGGCACCAGAAGTTGGAACACTGTATAGATGCGGTCTTATACAGAGTTTCTGTAGGGGAAGTTTGCTCCAGATGCGTTAACATTCGTCTTATCGCTTGCTGAGAGCACTTTTCCGGCAGTTTCAACAGATCGTTTCTCATATACCCTCAGTAACACAAAAGTAGGCGTGAATAGCTCCCTGAATGCTTTTAAGGAGAGATGCACAAATATATTTGAAAATTCAACTTCTTTTTAAGGCAATCGGCTGTTAATTAATGTGAAATCTGTCCGTCTTTGAACGACTGTTTGTGCTATGTACTAAATGTGCACCCGCACTGGACCCATGAATCTTTTTGATTGCTCGAAATGCTTTGTACGCGAACATTAAAGAGGTGGATTGTCCAGTGGCTTAAAAAGTGCTCATTTTGCGCCAGCAACAACGAGAAAGTGTGCGCTCAATCTCTAAGAATGCAGGCATTCATGGCTTGGGTTTGAGGAGACATAATTGGCCAGCTTCATTTAAACCAGAACTTTTAATTAGTTCATAATCGCCGTCTTGTCTTGGCACCGCCGGTTGAAGCACAATATGGCCCCCATCACATGCGCTACTTATCTAGCAGCATAGAAATTCAAAAGATTCAACCGAGTACCTATTGAATACCAGGTGCATTACACCATGATATGAGATCTGTTCGTCTACTGCAGATCCCTTTTGTATTGAATTATCCAGACGCTGTTCATCGGCATCAGCACTCACATGTTTCATCTGCATATACCTGATATGGTTTAGTCTCAATTAGTCTCGGCGTTTGTACTATTTTCCTAAGATCATCTCCTTTGCTGGAACGTCTTTTTTCGAATTTGATCGTACATATTTATCATTCGTACGAATCATGTCACGGTGAATCCGGAGACTATAAAAGAATGCACAAGACTATTACCGGATACAACTCGAACGGGTTTGCATTCTTCCAGGTTTCATAAATTGCGAACCAAGTGTGACTCCTTTCCTCAGTGTCAATGGTGTATGGCTCTCCATTGGGAGTCCTCAGATGAGTGAGAACAGAACTTTAAAACCGTTTCTTCACGTCGAAAATCTGTGCACCACTTTGTGAGCTCATTTTATGATTTGAGTGCAAAGAACAGTGGATTCCCGTCAACAGGGTGCAAACCATATT